CCTTAATGAAGTTTGTTGTTAGTGTAACAACAGAAGGGATGTTGTTATAGTATCCTCTCCCGTTTTGGACTCTCCGCCTATACCAATCACCCGCCATATAAAAAGTGTAATGATTGAATGTTAACAAGAGTGATTGTCTTATGAGCCAAAAAAATGTTCTATAGTTTGATACCGAGAATTTGAATTAAAGTATCTCGTTCTATAATTATCTCATAAATTGTTGATATGGTATTTCAATGTTATTTTAGTGGTAATTAAACCATGTGAATGTGGTATTTGGTATGTAGTATGTGGCAAAAACAGAGTGGTAAAACGAGTTATTTCGAAATAACACGGTGTATGAGTTATTTCAAATGACTCGTATGAGTTATTTCAAATGACTCGTTGAGTTATTTGTATGTAACTCATTTCAGTAAAATGGAGCCAAACGAGTAATTTTTGTCCAATTTGTAAACAAATACCTACAAATAACCATGGTCCATGAAGTCGTATCATACCGACGGTTCAGCCACAAAATATCAGTATCGGAGGCTAAACCGATAAGCGGTATTTGATGGTACCAACTGTTGAACTACAGTTAAACCACAGTTTTGTCATAAAATACCCTACCACTTACTATTCCGATATGGTCTTCGGTACGATTTCATGGACCATGCAAATAACCAACTCAAATACTCCATCTAAAGTCCAAACAACCTTATATCTTTTGTTGACTTCCCTACTTGCTCACACCAAGAAATAAGGTGTTATTATTATTATTATATATTTTTCCTTTTGATCCAATAGTTATATAAGCGTGGAAGCAGTACAACTAAAGCTCTACAAATTTATTATTATTATTATTATTATTATTATTATTATTATTATTATTTCTACAAATATATTATAGCAGAGTTGGGGCAGTTTTTCAGCATTTCAAATTTCCTGCAACGAGAGAAAAAGTAGGAAAGATAAATTTGTCTTCACAATCATTATTTATTTCTTATTAATAAGAAGAAAAAAATACATCAATTTCGAGATTTGAACCATGATCTTTCCAAACAAAGACAACAATCAGTACCAATTACACTAAAGAAATGTTTTGTATATTTTTAAATAAAATATTTAAGAACCTAAAATCTAAAAATCATATGACTTTTTCACTACTGTTAGCCAGCCCACTAACTCTCCAGTAAGTACTTTCTTTGTTGTTTGATATTTGAGTTTTCATATTTCGATTATTTTAGTTTGAGTTTAATAATAAATTTACTTTGTATCTATCATATAAATAGAGGATAATTTTAAAATTGCAACCCAAATATCATTGATTCGAATATTGCATATTGAATTGCAGTATTGAATGTGTAGATGTGATGTAGAATTCTTAACTTAGTATTAATTTTTAGAACTATCATAAAACAACCATATTGTTATGCAAACTGTAAGTGACCAGTTTTTTGAAAGTTTTAGTTTGATTAACAGTTAAATCCTAAATTTCTTGATAATGCGACATGATTGGACAACTTGGCGAGTTTAGAAGAACACAATTTCTGAATACAAATTTTTTAGATGATTTCAATTATTTAAATCTTTTATCTTATAGGGTACCATATGTATCATTTAATATTTACTTAGTTTAATATGAAATAACCGCAGTACAAGGCAAATCGTGAAAGTCGGGCTGGAATTTCATGGATGCATTGATGTGGTCATCCCCATTAGCAAGTTAGGTACTACAAGATAGTTTTTTTTGGTTGAGTGAATAAGATTGTCCTTCAACTAAATTTTGAGTATGTTGGTTGATAAATAATTTTGTTTATTGCATAGAGTATGGATGGAAAATGTTATTTTTTACTAATTTAAGTTTAGATATTGCTATATATGTATTGTTTCTCAAGCAAAAGAAAGAAATATTGGCTAAAGGATATGATCATGTGTTTCCTATTTATGCTACGATTTTTCAGACAAACTTTTTTTTAAATAGATAAGTCATGAATGGTTATTCACGAGTGTTATAACCAAGGTTTTTAAACCTTTACCGACCGACTGGTTGGACTAGGTTCGACCAAGTCGTGCTCCAAAACAGGCTCTACAAACCAAGGGTCTAATCGTTAGAGAGGGAGAAGAAGAGAGAGGGAAGGGGAAGGGGAAGGGGAGAGAGATGGAAAGGGATGGTGGGTGGATCATGAGATATGTATACTTTTTTATGGAATTTGAGTTTCTAATAAATATAAGTTAGTACATTCCATTTCAGTCACTAAATGTTTATATTATATGTAAATATATTTGAAAAATGGCTCTAACAGGTTGGACCCTCAATCAAACCATTAAACTTCAAACCACTTTCTTGACTAGCTCAACGACTTCAACTGGTTTAACAATCTTGGTTATAACCATTAAGATTACAATATTCATCATTGATGAAAAGTTACAAGAATTTCAAAATAAAAAAAATAATTTCGATGTCACCTTAATATCATACAAAATTCAACATTTCAAATAATTTGAAAATTTTAGATGCACATCATAAATACATTATATTCAATTGACATTATGACCAATGGGTCGGACAACAATATATAACTAGTTATAAGAAGTGTTGTTATTATTAATTCATCGAGGATTGATTAAATTTTAATTACATCTCATATCTAATTCCTCATGCAGCCAAACCCTAGAATGTAGAAGCACGTGAATTTACATGATTAAATACCCCACTTTACCGACCCTTTCAATCTTTGAACATCATTTTTTTGGCCTTGGATCAAAGAAATGCCTATGTACTTTTTCATGGAACTTGCCAATCTGAACTTCACAAGAAGAGAATCTTGATAGCCGTATACAAAAAACGAATCATGATACAAATCAATATCGAGAACATCTTCGTCTAAAAAACAAGGTAACAATTCATATACGGTCCTCACTCACAAGTAATTTTCATGTTACTCACATCACATTTCAACATCATAAAAACGTTACTCACGTCTCCGTAATAAATTAGCAATTTGAATTGTTAGGACCCATACTGTATAAAGTATGCGTGGACTTATACTGCCAAAAATAATGACCAACCCTTTTACGATAACAACTACAAAATAAATTAGTCCGCTCTCATAGCTAGTCAAAAATCGATTATGTGATCAACCACAGCAACGCATCCTCTGAACAAAGTTGTCCAACAAATAAGGGGGAATATGTCGCCCCCTCGTGCACTTACCAACTTCGCTATTTCATCGCATGCTCCTCTCTGCGGTGGATCGCGAGTTGGATGACCCTCTCGATACTTGGTGCAACCACCACTCATCTCTCAACGCACATACTAGAGCGGTTGGATCGTTGCTTGGGATCGCAGTTGGTAGTCCTTCCTTGGCCAACAATCAAAGTTTTGCATTTATCCGATACAACCTAGCTCTAATCATCGTATGCTAACTCGAACCACTTCTTCCTCGACATAAGCTTTCTTTCTTCTTCGATTCTCGTTGGGCTGTCAATCCGGAGGCTCAAGTTTTGGTTTCTCAAATTTGAACTTTTTAATAATGGAGAGCTCTCGATAGGTCAAGTCGTTCTTTCAGCTTAAAAATCTTCGACTCCAGTTGGTTGGTTGAGCCTCTGCAAGGACATCAAATTATGCTCGTCTAATTCATTACTTGAAGGTTTATTGAACGAGTCAAGCTCACTACTCCCATTGATTGGGATCAGGTTGGTCATCAAGAACGGGATCTTTCACAAGCTTCTCGTCAAGAAGAATTGTATTAGAAGCGAAATTCATGTATTCACTGGCTTCATGAAGGATGTCAAAACAAACTTCTTCCACTCTACTACTTTACAGCAACGTTGTCAAAGGTTCGATTGAAGTCTCTTGCTTAGTTGGGGTTTTCACTTCCTCTAGAATCTCTTCTCCAACTTTTTTAGTTTTTCTTGAACTCCCAACTGTAGTATCCTAGTCCATGAATGCGACTCTTACTACCCATGTTTCGTTGCTTGGAATTCGTAAGGCAGTTTTCTGTCCGTTCTTATCAGGCTCCCGGGTCCAATGGCTTTACATGGTGATTCTCCCATGATTTGTGGGATGTGGTAGGGGGTCAGTTTCTTTTGGCCTCTTGGCTCTCTTTCACAGTGGGCATCTCCTTTAAAATTTCAACCGTACTAGGTTAACTCTCATTCCTAAAGTTTTGGCAACAAACACAATGCGATGAATGCGTGCAATTGACCTATGTCAAACGGTTTATAAATGCATTGGGAAGCTCATCACCCTTCGTCTTCGTGTTTGCTTACCTGAGATTGCGAGTCCCTCACGGAATGGCTTCATTAAAGGGAAGTTGACTACTAATAACGTTCTATTGGATTAAGAGATTATGCATTTCTTGAAGATTAAATTGGGGGGTCGAGATCGTAGGATGGCTCTCAAATTATTTATGGAGGAACCATGTAATCGTGTTGAGTGAGGTTTCTTGTGGCCGGTCATGGAAAAGTTGGGATTCTTTGTGCATGATGAATTAAATGGTTCGAGAGTGTATCACTATGGTTTCTTTTTCTCTACTCATGAATGGATTTCCACATGGCTATTTTCATTCCCAGTGTGGAATACAACAAGAAGAACCACTGTTGCAAATTTTATTTGCGATCTACACCCATATGTTCTCTTCTATAATTAGTTCCTATGTTGCTATGAGATATTTTCATGAGGGTAGCTGGAAGACAAAAGGAAACTGGGAGTCATTTAGTTGAGGTGGGCGGGCGGTAAAGATTGGATCTGGATTTAGGATTTTTTTTTTTTTTTTTATCAATGTAGCTCATTTGTTATACATACTTTCATTACATTGACGAATGCCTATTATATTATGGTCGAACCATTTCACTTACAAAATCGATATACAAACATAAACTGCTTTGACAACGTTGCTTATATCTATTTGTTCCTTGGTGGAATATCCATGAGGATGCCTATCAAATCTCAAAAGTTGTCACATTTAAATAATGCGCTGTCCAGTTTCCCCTCGCGAGCCTATACCAGAAGTCCTGAACAAACATGACCTGCTAAGCTGAGCCAGAGCCAAAACCATAGCTCTCCCTCTCACTCTCTCTCTTGCAGGCCAAAAATTGAAAAAAAAAGCGGAAAAATCCCACAAAAAAACCCCATTTTGAAGATTGCTAATAAAATTTGAAAAAAATAAAGAAGCACCAGAGGAAAAGATTTCCCGAAATGCAAAATCGAAGCATTGCGCTGCTCTCGTCTTTTTCTGATTAATCATTTTTATATGTTCTGCAACGTTCTTTCTCCCGGGCCGGCTATGGAATCTTCACTCCACAGAGCTCTCTCCGTTTCCCGGTCCTCCGATTTCGCCTTTTCATCTTTGATCTGTAAGTGGCAATTCCTCGCTCTCCCTATCGAATCACCATTCCTACCCTCGGTTGGAGTTTGAATCTGGCTGGGTCATGTTATGCTCGTATTTCTTCATTGAATGGAATGGAGCTTCAAAGGTTTCATTTATGTGTTTTTGTCCCCTCTTCGTCCTTCCTCGATAGTTAGTTAGTCTAGGGTTTCTGGTTCTCGAGTTCGGATCTTTTGCATTAGTCTGGATTTCTTATTGAAGCATTATCCCGGTTAGGGTTTCTGGCCTGAATGCGGGTCATTCTTACTTTTATTCTATTCGTTTTTTGGATTTCGAGCTTTGGGACTTCGGCCATTTCTGCATCAACCCTTCCTCCTTCAGCCCTTTTCGATTTTGAAGGAATGGCGTAATGCGGCAATTGTCTTTTTTTTTTTTTTTTTTTTGTCTTCCCTTGTTCATTGGGGTTACAGTTGTGTTGTGCTGGGTTTCAAGTTTTCTACTTTGTGCTGGCTTACTAGTTGAGAACAAACCTTTGAGGAATGTTGAAGGATATTTTCTAATGAAGAAGCTTAATGCTGCTGTGTGGGTCTAGTGGTCGGAGTGTTACTAATTTCTTATTACATTTTTTTCTTACGGTTTCACTTTTGCCTTCACTCTTGCAATTTGTCTAATTTCTCCCACTTTATATCCAGGCCTGGCATTTCCTACTCTGTAGCATCTTTCGTAAGAGTTCAGTGGTAGATTATGGCCGAGTCGAATTCAGTTGACGTGATTCTAGACTTCTTGCGGAGAAACCGGTTCACTAGAGCCGAGGCAGCTTTGCGGAGTGAGCTTGGCAATCACCCTGATCTGAATGGATTCTTTCAGAAACTTTCTCTTGAAGACAAGGAGTCAGGGGGAGTTCTAGAAGAACGTACAGGGAGCAAACCATCAGCCAACTTTCCGAGCTCTGGTTCCCGAGATAGTCGTGAGGTTTCTAAAGAACTTATAGTTAAAGAAATCGAGTGCAGTACTGACAGAAAAGGATCTGAGGGTAGCTGGGAAGCTTCTGCCTCAACTGATGATCGAAATGCGAACCCCAGCGAAACAATTGGTGGAATAGATTCTGGGGATACTGTCATTGATTTATATTCTTGGAAGTCTACTCCTAACAATGGTCTTAACGTCTATCAGAATGATAGAGCTAGTACAAGAAATTTCTCTGGTAGAACAACAGAGCAAAGATCTAGAGAGGAGGTTCCCTTCTCAAGTGCGAAGAAAAGTGCATCGCAGGTTAGTATTACTGGTGCTGCCAACCCTGATTCTAACAATAGCAAAATTCAGACAAGTGAACCTATTGAGTTTGGTCAGCAAGTTAAGACTACTGTGTCATATCCTGCTGAGAACCCATGGGCAAGAGCTGAGGTGCCTACAAGCTCTTCAGTGGACATATGGAAGGATTGTTCTCTGAAGACTGTCTTGCCATTCTCCAAGCTTGACGAATCCACTAGCTATGAACCTACTGCTAACACTTCAGATAAGAAGGAAGGTAAAAAGAAAGCTGATACAGCTGATGTAAGGGCTTCCATCAAAGAACAGGTTGATGAAATTGGCAGAGCTTTATATCTTGGTAAGTCACATGCGAGTGCTGAACCAAAGAAGTTTAGTACTTCTGGGTTTGCTCTTGCATCTGATAGTTCCAGGGAAGAGTTTCCAAGGCTTCCACCTGTTAGACTTAAGTCAGAAGACAAATTATTGAATGTCAACTGGCAGGAGAAGTTTGAGCGTGATAAGCCAGGGGCAAAAATTAGCAGTGCTGATAGTTCCTTCCTTATTGGGTCATATCTCGACGTTCCTATCGGGCAGGAAATCAACTCTTCAGGTTAGTATATCATTGGCCCTGCTGCATTCTAATTCGATTGAAGAGAGTTGTTTGAGCTAAGATTAAGACAGTTATGTTCTTAATATGAAAGAGCAATTAAATATTTAGTAATAGACCCTCTATGTTTCCAATTCTTAGTGAATTTGACAGGCTTTATGCTTGTGAACGGCCTGTGTTTAGTATGCTTGTCTACCAGTAAAATCATAGTTGGTTTGTTTACAGTATGATTCTATCCTAACAAGCAGCGTAGCCAGTCTGTCTTGTCTGAAACCCTTAACCTTGTTAGTAGTTGAGCTATTTTTCACTTGAGAGTTTTCCTTGTAGCTGATGATTCAGGTGGAAAAAGAATTGCAGGAGGCAGCTGGCTCTCCGTGAGTCAGGGAATTGCAGAGGACACTTCTGACCTTGTTTCTGGTTTTGCTACAGTGGGCGATGGATTGAGCGAGTCTATTGACTATCCAAATGAATATTGGGATTCTGATGAATATGATGACGACGACGATGTTGGTTACATGAGGCAACCTATAGAGGACGAGGCTTGGTTTCTGGCTCATGAAATTGATTATCCTAGTGACAATGAGAAGGGGATGGGACATGGGAGTGTTCCAGATCCTCCAGAAAGAGGTCCAACAAAAGATGATGATGATGATCAGTCCTTTGCTGAGGAAGACTCTTACTTCTCTGGGGAGCGGTACTTCCAGTCAAAAAACGATGAGCCTGTCACAGCTTCCGATGATCCCATCGGACTGTCAGTGACTGAAATTTATGGAAGAACTCATGAGAATGACTTGATGGCACAGTATGATGGACAACTGTTGGATGAAGAAGAGTTAACTTTGATGCGCGGTGAACCTGTGTGGCAGGGGTTTGTCACTCAGACTAATGAATTGGTTTTGCTAGGGGATGGGAAAGTACTCAATGACTCTGGAAGGGCACGCTTGGATGATGTTTGTATGGATGATGATCAACTTGGATCGGTTCGATCAATTGGTGTGGGCATTAACAGCGATGCTGCTGATTTTGGGAGTGAAATGCGCGAAAGCATGATTGGTGGTAGCAGTGAAGGGGATCTGGAGTACCTTCGTGATAATGATATTGGGGCTGGGGGTTATAGACCTAGTCATCAAGATTCAGAGAAGTCATATGTTGATAAACAAAGCAAGGATAGAAAGAGGGCCAGCAAACAAGATTCAGGTAACTTTGGCAATGAAAATGTCACTTCTACTCATCTCAAATCTCACATAGATGGAGGATTCTCATTTCCTCCACCATTGAGGGATGACCAAGCTGCCCAGGCAGGGTCTAGCAAGTGGTCAAACAAGTCTGATGCTGTTATGGTTGATGAAACCAATGACCATTTGGAGGCTTTGACGGTGCATGATGACATGCTTGCTGGGTGGAAGCAGAAAAGTAGTGGGTCTTCAACAGCCAAAAGTTCTAGAGAAGGATATAATGCTCATGCTATTGGCTCCGGAGACTCAACTCCTTCTACGGTTTCAAATTACGGGTACGCCGAACAAGAGCGATCTAAGAAAGAGGACGACGAAAAGGTTAATGGTGTGATGGAAGAAGAACCTGGGGTATCAGTTGAGGATGAAGAGGCAGTTGCTGTTCAAGAGCAAGTGAGACAAATCAAAGCTCAGGAGGAAGAATTTGAAACTTTCAACCTAAAGATTGTGCATAGGAAAAACAGGTATGTGTTTAAATTTATGCTAAAAAATTAGTATCTGCTGACTATGCTGATTCTAGACATGCCTATTTGAAACTAGTGGTGATATATGAGAAATGGATACAGGATCACTGCTGACTAAGTGACTATGCTGCTTTCCATACCGGGATATTTTTTATAGTTGAAGGCATAACTTGTCATGACATATTCGCTTCATGGTATTGGATAGTCTAGCCATGTTACCTTTTTGGTCCCATGTTATTTTTTATTTGCATCTCAAAATGTTGAATCTCCTTTTTCCCTAGCTCACCCTTGATGTATCGGATCCCAACAGTAGTCTTCAACTGAAACACTTGTTTCTTACTCAGGACTGGCTTCGAGGAGGACAAGAACTTCCATGTAGTTTTGAATTCTGTACTAGCTGGGCGTTATCATGTCACTGAGTATCTTGGGTCAGCAGCCTTCAGTAAAGCCATTCAGGCGCATGATTTGCATACAGGCATGGATGTTTGTGTGAAAATCATTAAAAACAACAAGGACTTCTTTGATCAGAGCCTTGATGAGATAAAGCTTCTGAAGTATGTGAACAAGCATGATCCAGCTGACAAGTATCACCTTCTCAGATTATATGATTACTTCTATTACCGGGTGAGTAGTTACTGGACATTCTGCAACCTTAGCATTTTCTCTTATTGTTGTTGCTCTCACTTGTGTTTGCCATAGTGCTAGTTCTCCTTTTATAGTTTTGAGGATAATATTTGGTCATGATTTCAGGAGAGAACACATATTAGGGGAGAGAGTTATCTTGACTCTTGATAGTTATTGTTTGAATGTTTGCAACTGTCAAATGTCATTTGTATGCTAGCTCGCAAGTCAAAATAAGGGGTTGTTCGTGATGATTGATGAAATAGAAATGTATTCAACACCGTTCTGTTGCCTTCTTTTCACGACTATATTTAAACAGATCTGAACCTGTGGTGATGGCTTTTTCTGGTCTAGAATGCTAATTTGGTTTTATGTTACTTTTCTCGGAGAGCAGGCTGCGAAGTCTAGCTTGCATCTCCCCTTTGCTTGAGAGTGTTTATAAGCCAGTCTCTATTCCAACGGCTAAAAATAATGAGAAAGGGAAATCCGCTTTATGTTTTTTTTTTTTTTTGTTCTCCGCTTATGTTTTTCTGTGAGGCTTCTAGGTTGCTGAATGGAGAGCATGTCCTTGTTATAATGTGGGACTGCAGTTTAAACTTTATCTCTCTTGTTGTGCTGATTGTCTTTTAGGTGCACTATTGTTGGATGCATTACCTGTGTGTGGTTGTTTCTCTTTATCTTTCAGCTACTTAACCGCTCGCCATGCCTTCTGTTAATCTTTCCAGGAACATTTGTTGATTGTATGTGAACTCCTCAAGGCAAACTTGTATGAATTCCATAAGTTCAACAGAGAATCTGGAGGGGAAGTCTATTTCACAATGCCCAGATTGCAGGTTGGTTACCATTTTGCAATCTCAGTATTCTATACTTTTTATGTTGGTGCATACTAATGTTTTTTTCTTTAATGATTTGATGCAGTCCATTACAATCCAGTGTTTGGAAGCACTTCAATTCCTGCATGGTCTTGGCCTTATTCACTGTGATTTAAAGCCTGAGAATATATTAGTGAAAAGCTACAGTAGATGCGAGGTCAAAGTCATTGATCTTGGAAGTAGCTGTTTTGAGACAGATCACCTGTGCTCCTATGTCCAATCTAGATCATACCGTGCACCAGAGGTCATCCTAGGCCTTCCATATGATAAGAAGATAGACATTTGGTCACTTGGCTGTATCTTGGCAGAGCTTTGTACTGGCAATGTAAGTTTAAGCTAACAGTATTTGGCTACTAATTCATTGTCTAGGTACTTTGTTCATGTTTTGTTATTGCTAGTCCTACATGGAAGCTTATGTTTCTTTTATTTTTTTCTGATCGGTGTCCAATGATCTAAAATGAGAGAGGTGACAAAGAGGGTATTTGCCAATTGCCACTGCATTTTTAATTCATGTTTTGTTATTGCCAATCCTACTTGGAAGCCTATGTTTCTTTTCTTTTTTCTGATTCGTGCCCAAAGGTCTAAAATGAGAGAGGTGACAAAGAGGTATCTGCCGATTGCCACTGCACTTTTAGAACATTGACAGCAATATCAGTATGAAAATTTGCATGAGCTGTTTGTAGAATTACTTTATGTAGTGATTGGTCTTGTAATAGTGATGGGAAGTAGTTTCTGCTGTTGAAGTTTGACATGGACTTGTCAAACAAAATATTTGTCGGATCGTTTGTTGCCTGCTGCTTGTGACCTATTGTCCTTGGTTTTGCATGATTGCCAGATATAGTAGTTATTTTTCTGAGGATGTAGTTCAAGAACGATATATTTTCTGCTAGGACAATGAATATAGGCACTTTGTAGACTGACCGACATATAATACTTTATGTTTTAGGGTTCAGCTATATATCATCATGCCTTTGCATTCTGCAAATATTTTACATTGTCACCTGGGTCATGACCAAAATAAGATTTTCTGTTTCAGGTTCTCTTCCAAAATGACTCACCGGCAACTCTACTGGCCAGAGTTATTGGAATTATTGGTCCCATCGATCAAGAGATGTTAGCTAAAGGGCGAGATACATACAAGTACTTCACCAAAAATCACATGCTTTATGAACGGAATCAGGTATATGTTCTTTCCTTTCTCTTCTAGCCAACGTCCATGTAGAACGAAGGGTAACCAATAGGTAGTTTTCAGGAGCTGCCGAAATTCAGTACGTAGGTTAAACACCCTTAAGAACCTGGTGCAAACTTTAAATCTTTCCACATACAGTTAAAAAGAGTTCCTAATTTTGTAAATGGTATGGTAATTGCTCGTACAATGACTGGATGAGTTGAGATGAGATGCTTCTTATAAGGTTGTTTCATACAAGATGCTTTATGGTAGAACCTGTGCATTGCTCTGTCAGACTGAATCTCTATAGTAGAAAAGCTTTCGTGTCCGTTGTCACTGGGTGATTTTCAATGCCTGCAAAACCAGAATGCATGCATGTTGAGCCCCATTCAGAGAGATAATATAGTGAAAGGTTTTTTTTAGTGAATCCGAATATGGTGGGTGTGCTATATCCTGAATTCCTCTTCTTCTTCAGGAAACAAACCGACTAGAGTACCTGGTATCAAAGAAAACATCGTTGAGGCACCGATTACCAATGGGAGACCAAGGTTTCATTGATTTTGTTGGGCATTTACTTGAAGTAAACCCAAGGAAGCGTCCTTCTGCATTAGAGGCTCTGAAGCACCCGTGGCTATCATTCCCTTACGAACCCATATCAGCCTAACCTGACTATACCAACATAGTCTGCCACAAGTCAGCAGCAACCTATTGGAAAATATATTTTTTTCCTTTGGCCCGTCCAGTCTCCTCCCCTCGAGCTTCAAGTGGCCTCTCCGCATACTTGTGAACGTGCTTTGGTTTCTTGCTAGTGATAGTTTGTACTTCAGTCAGTCCCATTGTTGTTCCCCCCTATTTCCAAGTTGTATCTTAATCTGCGACCGATTAATCGATGAATGTAGTTTTGCACGAAAAAGATATGTGTATTACTAGGAAGTTTCATCTTCTCTTTTTGTTGTGCTATAGCCAAGTTTGGTTTTTTGTTCTATTTATCGGGTCGGGGGTAGGGATAAATCTTTTGTTGTATATGATGCGGGACGATTGTTACCTTTCAGATTCTTTTCCTTTTTGGGTTGTTAGTAATAGCATCATCATGGTTTATGGAAAACTGAAATTGGCTGGTCCTGATTTTGGTGGCTTGGCATTGAAGTTTTCTTGTTTTGCTGCATTTAACTTCGTATTCTTTCTTTGTTTATGACGCTTGCTCTGCTTGCAGTTAATTCAAAAAATTAACACCACATAGTAGGCTACTCTTCTAACTTATGACCCAAGCTTTGTTTCAGAAAATCTACAATATGTTCAGCTATGTTGCTCTGCTAGGACATAAAGAACACTCTCCAATCTGTTTTACATTTTACCAAAGAGAGCAGTGCATATCCCACGGGCATTCTTAGGAGCTTTAGCAACCCGGGATTGGCAAAGACCCCAAAGTGGTGCGAGCTTGCACCTCCTTGTTTTCTTAGACTTTGTGATACTTGTATTTCTGGCTCAGATTGAATCTGGTGATTTGTTGGTTGAATCCATTAAGCACCAAGTTGGTCACAGCTTCCACCCCTTGTTCTGTTGCTAAGTCAATCTGCCAAGTAGTGAAATCAAATCCTCGGAATCCATAAGAAATAAGGATTGTATTATGCATGCACCAGGGGATTGAAGGTACCTGCACTCGCTCAGTTGGGCTGAATCGCTGCAGTAGAAAAGCTTTCATGTCCATTGTCCCTGGTGGATTCCCAATGCCTACACAGTCGCAATTGCATGCATGTTGAGCCAATGAGACCCATTGAGAGGGTTAGCTATAGTGGCAACAACAAACAATGTGAATGGCAAATGGAACAGGAGAGTCTGACACATGCCTATACATAATCGAGGGAATTGGCGGCAGCCATCCAAATGGTCGATCACGCTCTTCACACTGCAACAAAAATAGCTACAATTTTTACTGCTTCTGTAAAGCAAGAACTTAATTTAAAGTGTTACAACTGATAATGAACCTATGATATATCCAATCTTTCAAGGGCACAATAGATAATTTCTTAACTAGAAAGTGGTTGGGTTTGCTTCAGTTGCTCTGGAAGCATAGGACATCCAGCTTTTGGGGGAACTCATAAGTTGTATGCAATTAGATAGTTAAGAAGATAAAGGCACTTGCGAGGTCAACCAAGTCTTTCATAAGTACAGATTGTTTTGTACTCTTATTTGCAGGATGATAGTAACCACTATAAGATAGAATAATATATCAATCACTGTGCTCGAGAAAGTTGTTCATTCTACTATACGTAGTCATAATTGGAAGCCTAAAAAAGCAGAGTTCGAATTCTTCCTGGAGCCTAAGATTGAAAAATAAGGCTACCCTACAGCCAGTTAAAGACAATGACATACCCGTTATGATGGCCATGGCCCCCTTTTGGCTGAAGTCTCATAACACCATTAGGCAAGCTCATTTCATCATATATCTACATGTTCAAACTACAGAATCCATTAAGTCCGTCTAATTGGGAAAATATTAAGAATGAAATAAAGTAGACTTATCTTTAGGCAATGCATACCAGTAAAATATGACGGAGAGGCACTTGATAGTATGCAGCAAGAGGCCCAACCTTAACAGCAAAGTCATACAAATGAGCAATTCATCAACAAAACTGGCTATTGAAGCAAGGTTGATCTCATAACAATTGCATAGTTTGACTTGATAAACAGATGCAAACCATGTCCAGAAACAACAATAAACTTTCATGAATCTTCTGTCTCAGTATGTGTATAAAAAATTCTCATTGCAATGGAATTAGTATTGCCAAGTTTATCGCTAGAAGAAACTCTCTAAAAAAGCTGGGGATAAAGAGAGTAGTACCATGACTTTGATTGGGATTTTATCACTGTCAAAATCTGTCCCTACTAAAGTCCTAGAAATACCAAGTCATAGTTACTTCAGGAAACCAGAAGGCTGATTTAATTCTGAACCTTCATTGGTTCACCAACTTGTGAATGATTATAAAGAACCAGCAAACAATATTTTGGAAGGATGCAGGACCAAAGAAATGAGCACATAATCCAGTATCGAAACTGATAACTTAGTCAATGAATAGTACACCACTTTCACTAGCCTCTTTTCTTAGGTCCCTGGTTTGATGCTAAGGTTTAACAAAAAAATATGAAGTAAAAAAAGGATCAAGAACATGACTTTTAACTTCGACAAAAGAAAAATAGCAACGGAACTCACCGATTCCCCACTAAAATTCATGTATGCTTGCGGCTTTGCCAGCAGAATTGGCACCTCCCCAATGCAACCTACAGTACAGAGAGAATATGAAATGAGTAACAAAGAGAAAAGATTAGGGGTAACCGATAAGATTCAAGAAATCAACTTTGCAAAACCTATTCCAATTACAGCTTTTGATTGTATTGTGTTCAAGACAACGTCATGCTTCTGAGCTATTTGATCTATCACTTCAAAACCAACCTGCACAGCATCATTTTACAAATATCATTAACATTAGACTTAAAATATTAAACCAAAACAGAAGAATCATCAGTTTCAAGTAAGTACATTGTGCCTGGTGCCATGGTACTTATTTCCTGGGTTACCCAATCCAACAATGAGCCAAGGAGTGTATTCCACTTTGACTCCATTATTGTTTTCTGTCAACGAAGCACGTATTCTAAGCCGTGTTGAGGGTAAATGCCTTCTAGGCAAGATGGCCGTCCTAGGACAGGAGATGCAAGTTCTCGGGGCAATAGTTGTATGCAACATTGACCTAGAAATACAAAAGATATGTGAGAAAGAAAAAATGAAGGGATGATTCTCAAATCTATGTTGCAATCAATGCAGTCAAATCGTGATTTTACATGAAATCGAAAACTGGGGTAAAATCATAAGACAACCACTCAATCAATCAGTCACAGCCTGAATACAAAGCTAAAACACAAACATGAAACTTCATAACCCTAAATTTCAAAACCACACCAATTAACAAAAGGAAATGAATGCATCATTCGATTTCCTTCCAACCACACAAAAGCCAACTCTTAACTATCTTTCTGTCGGCAAGACTGCAACTGATTGTTTCCCAATACAAAATTATCTCACGATATCGGCATGTGCAATAAGAGACAGTTTAACCACTTCGTATTGATTGATTACTATTCACCAAATCAACCATCTACGCCACGGAGCTCTTTTGTGAATTGATGAAAGAATCACAGAGAGAAATTTATTCATGCAATCACACCCTTTGGCAAACAAACACCACAAGCTGTCCATTCAATTCCATTCCAGCCAACCAAGTTAACCCACAAATTAATAGGAGACATCGGTGCCCAGAACTCACCAAGAACGGCGGAAGCAGGGAGGCTAAATATGGAGGCGGCGGGTGGCCGGTCGTCGACGGTGGATACGAACGGACGAGACAGAGGGAGCGAGAGCACAGGGGCGAAATGGAGGACGGCGGTGATGGCGGAGACGAGACGTGGAGTGGGAAAAGATAGCGCCGGTGAAGTAGGTGGATGGTGGAAGGGTCCGTGGCGTTAGCCGTTGGGAGGGAGTGCAGGGATTGTGGAGAATTGAGAGATAAGACTCGATAGCTTCTCGCCGTCGCTGGTGAGCTGAAGAAACGGATTTGGCTGCAAGAATGTGACGGCGAAGGAGCTGAGAAACGATAGCGTATGAGAGACTTTTAGAGCAAACAGTCTTACCCTTATAAATAAGGAGTGGGCCGAGCCAATTAAAATAATAATCATAGGCCTTACAAGGAGGCCCAAATGAGATGAACTGCCTGCCGCTGCGGGGACAGCATATATTATTACCGACGTTGCAATTTACTTTGAAGTTGCCCGCCGGTGGCCGTTCTCGCTGCAAGAGATTGATTGATTTTAACCTGGGTACTGATTTTTTCCTAGTTGTATGATTTTTTCATACCGGTATTGAATATTGATTATCATTTAATGATATTGCTTTTCTGATATTGATGCTATCTATTTCAATTGGATCCATATCTATTTCAATTGTTTTTGTTGTTGCACAACCGAACTGTAATGGTATGGATTAATAGGTGGTATATGTCGCGGTAATGTTTTTATGTTTTGGTATTGATTTCTTGTTTTTATAGACAAGAAAAAGATTGAGAAAAATAAGGAAGAGAGATCTGACGGGAGATTGCAAAAGTGAGAAAAGAGAGACAAAATTTTAATTAATATTTTTCTTGACTTTCCAAAATGTTATTTATTCAAGGGTTAATATTTTCGTATGGCATGAACTTTAACCAAAATAAACATTCTGGCCAATCTTTTCGATCTATAATATCCTGGCCCGAATTATACACCAAAATAAACAATTTTGCCAAACCCGATGTTTGACCGTTAACTTGGACGGTCAACGCGCCACGTCACTGCCAAGTCAGAAGATCTTATAAATATTTAATTTTTTCATTTTTTATTTTTGGTTTAACTAGGTATTAGATGATTTTTTTTAATTTATAATAATTTAAAATTAGGGAATGTGTGAAAATTTTGAATTATTTTAAATATTTTATGCTGACTTGGCAGTGACATGGCGCGTTGACTAACGGTCAACGCGTTTGACCGTCCAAGTTAACGGTCAAAAGTCAGATCTGGGCCAAATTGTTTATTTTGGTGTATAGTTCGGGCCAGAATGTTATAGATCGAAAAGATTGGCCAGGATGTTTATTTTGGTCAAAATTCAGGCTATACAAAAATATTAACCCTTTATTAAAAAATAATTAGTTTATATTTTTTTCATACCCAATATGTATTTAGTAGCTATAGTGACTACTACTCCACATAATCACCGTAACCGCTCGTCATTTACCATGCTCACCAAAACGTGTGGTTTTAGTTTTGATTGCTAACCCCAAGTTTAGCGCTTCTCTCCTTAACAAAGTTCTTTTAATGATTTTCTTACTCAGTGTAACATTTAGTAGTCTGTACAGATAAGAAAACATTATACTCATTTGCCGAGTGAGTATGAAGTTTCATGCAGTTATCAAGGAGTTTACAAACTTGATTTCGCGAACTCAGAGACAATGATTCCCTCTAGCCACTAGCCGGATTAATGATTGATTATTCTATAACTGATTTCACTCTTCATTCATATTGCGAAACATCCTTAATTAACAAACTTTGAATCTTGATTAAAGTAGACAATATCCTTTTGAATAGACTAATTAGAGGAACATTATCCTCATCTTTAACTAAGGAAGAATACCAAATCAATTCACATTCGACTTCCGTTATAAGATAAGTGATTCGGGTCTAAATGTACACTTTTTATCCCCGTTTCTCTTTAGCGTTTGTGGCATTGAGCTCCAAAAAGGGTGGTTTTACGCTAGGTTTGCTGTGTTTCAATGTTTTTCGGAGTCTAACAGGTGGAACCAACCCTAGAGTCGAAAGTTGGAAGAAAAGGCACGAGGATCGAACAAAGAGGAGGAAGCAGCGTTGTTCACGGTCCAAGCTGTGAGTTCACGGTCTCCAGGACCGTGAACTGGAACCACGAACCGCGAACTGAAGGGTGTCCAGAGAGGTTTCAGAGGTTACTGACGCCGAGTCAGTTCAGGGTCGTAAGACCGTGAATGAAACCATGGACCGCGAACTCAACAAATGAAGTGGTGCGTTTTGGACTGTGTTCACGGTCCCGGCCAGATGTTCACGGTCGTGAACTCTGACCATGAACTGCGCGCGACTAGTGTATAAAAGGAGAGGTGAAAGGAGGAAGACGGGGGAGCCCAAAGTGAGAGAAACCTTCTTCTTCTTGAAAACCTAGAGAGAGAAAGCCACAGACCAAGATGGAGAAGAGGTTAGGTTTTGCTCCAAGTTAAGATTTGGGAAGCTTCTTTTCAACGGAGGATCTCTACAAGCACAAGGAGGGTTTGAGACATCACAATGATGGTTTCTTCCTTTTTCCTTTGTGTTCTTCCTTTGTCTACCATGGAGTAGTCTCCTTTTCACTTAGGTGTTGTAGAACCCTAACTTCTACCATATAGTTGATTGTATGAATTGAATGATTGTGTGTGGGTGATGTTTAATTTAAGATTTGAAGTATTTTTCATGGTGATTGTGCATTGTGTGTGCTTGGCAATCTATTGTGCTATTCTAACCTAGCTTAGAGAGAAATCCCCTTATCTTAAGAGGCTCAAATTGAGCTGGGTTTTCTTAGTCATTCCATGCCTCCTAACTAGGTTAATGTAGGGAAAACCTCTCGAATTAGACACCTAGATTAATTGTGATTAAGCCGTCCAAACCTCGGTTTGAGGGAGAAGGTAAGTCAACCCTCAATTGCTTGGACCAAGGGAACTACAATTGTAGCCTATAATGCATTCATTGGCCAAGAAATTGAGAGGATGATTTCTAATCATTGTTGCTCCTCCTAACGTTGCCTTGTCCCACACCGATTCATTTGATCCCACGGTTCATGGTAGTTAGTTAGGGGGAAACAACTCCCGAGTGAAGCTTCTCACAAAGATTTTCAATCTGACTCGTCCCGAATACCACAATTAATTCCCGCCTAAGGTCCAAGTATAAACCTTAGTCGGGTGCAGTACAAGGAAAGTATGTTTAAATATCAACTCGGGTCGGTCCGTGTACCCCTACTTCTGTCATTTGAATCATTATCTAGCAACTCGGTTTTGGTTGAAAAGTTTGCTAATTAAAGTAAAGCACGGTAAAAGTAAATGATTTTGAAAAATCTTTGTGAGAAGGATCACTCGGGTGTCGCTTCCCCCTAACTACTACCATGGTATGCGAATCTAAGTGATTGCTATGGGCAAGGTGACCGCAAACTGCTAGGAGACACAAATATGGTCGTAGACCACACTCTCGATTGCCTAACCGAGGGATATATTATAGGCTCTTCAAGTGGCTATCTCGGTTAGGGAAATCGACGGTTGACTTACTCCCTCACTCAACCCAATGGTTGGTCGGCTTAATCGCGCTTAACCAAATTGCTTAATTCAATATGGAGGTTTTCCCTATATTAATCAAGATAGGTGACTTAAAAAGCCCTAGGAATACCAACTCAATTGAGCCTCCCTTGAAAGGGGGTTTTCCTTCTCTAGTCTAGGTTAAATTGGCCAATTAGATTGCTAAGCACAAACATGCACTATCAACATGAATAATACCTCAATCATTGAATTAAACAACACCCGTAAATAGTTAGAGTTTAACAACACCCAAGTGAAAAAGAAATCTACTCCATGCTAGAAATGGGAGAAACACAAGGGGAAGAGGTAGAAACCATCATGGAGAGGCTTCCAATCTTCTTTGAACTTGTGCTGAACTTCTCTTGGGGAGAATCTTCCCAAATCACCACTTGGAGCAAAACCCTAGCCTTCCTTCTCATTTGGTTCGTCTTTCTCTCTCTAAAATATGAAGAAGAAGACTTTCTCACTCTTTTCGGCTCCCCCTTCTCTCTTCCTTTTAGATCTTCTTTTAAATAGGGATCGTGCTCAGTTCACGGCCTCAGTTCACAACAGTGAACTCTGAAACGCGTCCGTGAACTCAAGACGGGCATCGAAACGCACCGCTTCGCTTGCACGGGTTCACGGGCAAAAGCTCCTCTTCACGGTCTTAGTGACCATGAACTCGGCTAGCGTCAGTAACTTCTGGAAATGCTCTGGACGCCTCGACGTTCATGGGAAACAGCTCTTCTTCACGGTCTTACAAGATCGTGAACATCCAAGGAAAGTCGTGAACTGCCTTCTTTTCAATCTTCTCCTCGTTTTCGCTCCTTTTCGTCTAACTTTCGACTCCGGGGCTGGTTTTACCTGTTAAATCCCGAAACATGCTAAAACACGAGAAACCTAGCGTAAAAACACCCTTTTAGGAGCATAATTGCCTCAAATGCCTAAGGAAAACGAGGGTAAAACATGTACAGTTAGGCCCGTAACACTCCCCCGCACTTAGACGTTTGCATGTCCCAAAGCAAACCATTTCACACAAGGTAATATTTCAACCTACACAAATACTTTGGGGACAACTCAAAGGGCACAAAGTGGGAATTCTCAATGGCTATTGGCAGTTAACACATGGACCGTTGCAAGCGATACTAACATCCACCACAAACGACATTCGAGGCCACCAAAAACGGGCAATCGAAAAGTTCTCACCTTGTTTATGGATCAATGCAAGTCTCAACAAGAACACTTATCAACCACAACTAACCATGCATGGAATTCAAGTCCAAGGAACAAATGGAAAGGCAACCAAGGTCCTCACCAGGGTATGATATGACATGCAAAGCAAGAATGAATCACTCACTCTCAAGACCAGTGGGGTCGGGGCCTTTTTGGTGCCAAAAGATGTACACAATCATTAACACTCAGCACTATCGTCTCAATACCACGGCGGCAACCTCTAAATGCTAGAGTTCACGGAATGGTTGTCATCACTAGTTTGTCTGGAGGTCTTAGAGACGGGTTCAGATGGGTGGCAATTGTCTTGGACATTGGAAAAAGGCTTTTTGGGTGGTGGCAATCATGACGTGAGGTTCTACATCTTCAACCTAAACCCGAAGGTTCTATGGTTTTGAATAAAACCCTTCTCTTCAACCAAAGGCCACTAGCATCGGCAAAAAAACCTTATCTCTCCCTTCCAAACTATCACCCATCATGAACTACATTAAAGCACTCTTCCTCGGTCTACTATTGTTATCACCTTTAG